TCTTATGTTCTGTCCCCCTCTCTGTTTTTATATTATTTTTGCTTCCATTCCCTTACGTTCATCTGTTTCGTATCTTAATTTCCTCCTATGAGGGAAGTCATATGATATTTGTCTTTCTCAGACTAATTTTGCTTAGCATAATACCCTCCAGTTCCATCCACCTAGTTGCAAATGGCAAGTTTTCATTCTTTTTGATTGCCGAGTAATACTCCATTGTGTAGTGTGTGTGTGTGTGTGTGTGTGTGTGTGTGTGTGTGTGTGTGTATAAAACATCTTCTTTATCCATTCATCTGTTGATGGACATTTGGGCTCTTTCCATACTTTGGCTATTGTCGATAGCGCTGCTATAAACATTGGGGTGCAAGTGCCCCTTTGAAACAGCATTCCTGAATCTCTTGGGTTAATCCCTAGTAGTGCAATTGCTGGGTCGTAGGGTAGTTCTATTTTTAATTTTTTGAGGAACCTCCACACTGTCTTCCAGAGTGGCTGCACCAGTTTACATTCCCTCCAGCAGTGCCAAAGAGATTCTCTTTCTTCACATCCTCGCCAACATCTGATGTTGCCTGAGTTGTTAATGTTAGTCATTCTGACAGGTGTGAGGCGGTATCTCATTGCGGTTTTGATTTGTATTTCCCTGGTGATGAGTGATGTTGAGCATTTATTCATGTGTCGGTTGGCCTTCTGGCTGTCTTCTTTGGAGAAGTAAGGGACAACTCTTTCTTATAGTAGAATTCTAACGAACAAATACAGAACGAAGGATAGAAATAGAAGATTGTCGTTAAGTAATTACCACAGTAATAGCTATTGTAAGCAAGAATTATCAATAGATACAGCAGTTAGGGGAGCAAAGGTATGATGAGAAACCGGATATTTGCAGAATCTCAAAATGTATCCCTACAAGAAACCTTTGCTGATTACAAAGGGTGGAGAAATTTGGTAGACACCCCCTTGACCAAGCTAAAAAGTCACCACCACCAGTAATGAGATGGGTGTCCTCATATACCTCCTGATGGCTTAACATCACTTCTGTGATATTCTTGCCAAAAATGCAAAACCTCAACTGAATCACGAGAACACATCAGACAAACCCAAATCGGAGAACACTATACAACATAACTAGCCTGAACTCTTCAAACATATCAGGGTTGTGAAAGTCGAAAACAAACTGAGGAATTGCCACAGATTGGAGAAGGCTAAGTAGAGACATGGCAAGTAAATGCAATCCAGGGTCTAGGACTGAAAAAAAAAAAAAAAAAGACGTAAGTGGGACAGTTTTTGACCTTTGAATAAGACTTGCAGGTTGTTTGTTTTGTATCGATATAAATTTCATTATTTTAATTATTAGCTATGGGACGCCTGGGTGACTTAGTTGGTTAAAGCATCCGACGCTAGATTTCTGCTCAAGTCTGATCTCACAGGTCATGATCTCAAAGTTTGTGAGTTCGAGCCCCATATCGGGCTCTACGCTGACCACGCGGAGCCTGCTTGGGAATCTCTCTCCCCCTCTGTCTGCACCCCTCCCTCTCGAGCGTGCTCGCTCTCTCTCTCCCAAAATAAATAAATAAAAAATTAATTATTAGCCATGGTTATATAAGGTGTTAACAGTAGGAAAAGTTGGGAGAATGGGATATAGGAACTCTACCCAAGTTTTACAATTCTTCATGAGTCTAAAATTATTTCAAAATAGAAAAGTTAAAAAGGAACATTCTGATATGATTTTGAACAATTTGGAATTTCTTTTTTGGCAGGAAGAGGAGAGTTATATATCACAAGACACCTCTTTATAATCTCTCCTGTTGGGGTTTCAGTTTTGCAATCAGTTTTAGAGTCATTGTGATTGTTCAGGGTTTTGTTTTGTTTCTAAAGCAGTAGTCCTTTAACCTGTGACGTGATAGAGCCTTTAATAATTATCCTCACATACTTATTTCCAGTTTTTAATTATAAAAAACCTTGCGCAAGAGTGACTTATTCCAAATGGCAATGGAGTCGGGAGTTTAATACTTTGGACCATCTTGGTTTTTGTTGGTGTTGTTTCTAACAAGATCTGGCTGTCTCTAAAGGCATGGGTATAATAGAAACATTTTGGAAAACTTGTCTAATCTTAACATCCAAAAAATTGTAAGAACAAGAAATGGATTTTTTTTTTCCCCTCAAGGAGAAGATTAAAAAAAAAAAACACCTTATGTGTCTTTACTGCCTTCTCAGTAATTTAAGTTCCTTCAGGGGAGCTTGTGTGTCTCCTTTCCTCATCTGTACCCCAGGCTTCCAGCCAGTGCTGTACCGTTACTGGATCATCGAGCAGAATACGGAGAAAGTGCGAATTTAAGTGGTGGGAGGCTGGGAAGAGAATGGTATGATGGAGCTAATCTTTTTTTTTTTTTAATCACAAATTTCAATAGAGAAAAAAATTTGATTTGCCCTCCTAAGGCTTAATTCCATAAAAATCGTTGGTCTCTAAAAAATGATAAATAGGAGATTCAAAGTAGAGTAAGAAACCAAAAAGAAAAAAAATTAGAGACCTCTGACTTCCCTGTTGGCAGTAATGTGTCCCATGATGAAATTTATCTTTCTGATTTAAAATTAAACATCCATCTCTACTGTTGTTGACTTTTCACTGCATTAATTTGTGTCACTTATTCAATTAGCGTTTCACCTGTGTCTAAAATACTTCGTCTTCTGTTTGCTTTGTCTTCCAGAAACTGTATTTGACTCAGCTGTTACATAAATTACATGTCATTGAAAACAAACAAACAATTTTTAGGAGCTGACTTTGAGGGGTTTGAAGAAGTTCCTCATCAGTCCAGAAACTACTTTAGAGGGAGGCGAATCGCATACAGGGCTGCCCCGTAGAATTAGACCTTTTTTGGAAGTGGGGGTTGAAAATAAAGATAGATTCTCACTGAGGTCTCTTGGGCCCAGATGACAGCATCTTCAAGTCACCTTCGCCCAAAAGTTGAAGTAATATTAGATTATTTGTCCTCCAACTGCAGTGAATGAACAACTAAGTCAGGAACTGAATTCGGGCTCCTGAATGGCCCCCATGCCTTTGGCTGCTTGCGTCTTCTGTTTCCAACTCAGACGGTTTTTGATTTGTTTGTTTATTGTTTTATTTTTTTTTTATTTTGTTTGTTTGTTTTTGAGACACCTTTGTCTTTTAGGAAAGATGCCCAAGTAGTATTATAACAGATGAAACAAAACTGGCTTTCAGTGTAATGAAAGCCTAACCATACTTTTTTTTTTTTTAAGTATAGTACAACACCCATCATATAAAATTAACCATAATTTTTTTTTACAGTGATTGTTCAAGAGCTTTATTTAAGGCACCAGATTAAAATGCAACCTTTTCCCCCTAGCTGGAGAAAAAATGTTATAATTAAATTAAATTAATGTTTTCCCATACTTGGAGAAGACCGAACTTGCCTATTTCGTGGTCCTTCATACATTTTGGCTAACTTAGTTAAATTCACCTGCAAAATAAACAAATTGATTTTTTGTGTATGGAGAAGAGGATCAGAGTTTGGATACCTTTAAAAAAAATAGTATTATGTACAATTTTTAACGGCCTCATTTTTTTTTTTACTCTTGTTTTCTTAAAGTGGACTTCCTTTCATTATTTCAGGAACTTCCATCTAGATATATTTTATACCAAAGAATCTGCAGTGTGTTAGAGTCAGAATTGCTAAGGCTAAGACTGTGTCCTGTATCAACTTGCCAAATGTTTAGAAGCCTAACATCACATCTTTTGCTTTTCTCAGTTATATATCTTTTAAGCAACGTCAATAGAGTTGACGTCAATGGAACTATTATTTTTAGAATGCCAGTTTAAGAGCATTTGGCTTTTCCTGCATCTGACTTTGAAATGCAATTTAAAAGGATTAATCTGAAATGTCATTTGGCCAGGTATGAATCATTGTCACTTACCAGTAAACCTTTGGGTTCATATTGCCATCTGAAGTGGAGATAGAGGAGTCTAGCCACAAGAAATAGCTTTAGCATTTTAAGCATTTTCTTTCTTTTTTTAAAAAAAAATGTTTATTATGGGGCGCCTGGGTGGCTTAGTCGGTTAAGCGTCCAACTTTCGCTTGGGTCATGATCTCACGGTTCGTGGGTTCGAGCCCCACGTCGGGCTCTGTGCTGACAGCCAGCTCAGAGCCTGGAGCCTGTTTCAGAGTCTGTGATTCCCTCTCTCTCTGACCCTCCCCTGCTCATGCTGTCTCTTTCTCTCTCCTAGAAATAAATAAAAAAACATTTTAAAAAAATGTTTATTTTTGAGAAAGAGAGAGAGCATGAGTGAGGGAGGGACAGAAAGAGGGAGACAGAAGATCAGAATCCAGCTCCATGCTGACAGCAGCAAGCTCAATGTGGGGCTTGAAGTCACAAACTGTGAGATCATGACTTGAGCTAAAGTTGGATGTTCAACCAACTGAGCCACCCAGGTACCCTTTTAGCATTTTCTACCACAACATGGATGGCAATCAATGACAACCAAAGGCCCCATGAGGTGATTTTTTTGTCCAAAGGAATGTTTTTTATATTGCTTCAAAATTGCTATTCCCTAGGAGATGAATGAGGTTTTCATAATTCCTGAGGCACTATTTACCTGATCTTAGTTTTTAGGGTTCTAAAGCTAGGACTATAATCTTTTAAACATTTCTTAAATGAATGTGGAGAGAAGAGGAGCATCTTTCGTATATGTACACAAATAACTGGGGTGGTCCCAAAGCTTGGTTGACTGGTCTTAGTAGCTGCTGACAGAAGAACAGAAGGTGACCGGTGGGTCCTGTCGTGGTGCTTTGAGTAGCGACTCCCAGCCGTGGCAGGGGACTGGGGCCGATGTTGGAATTGCTCTTTGTGTTACCCTGTGAACTGGTGGGGAGGAAAAGCATTTGGAGAATCACTGCTATAAAGTAAGCCAGATGAGAAGGAGAGGTCGTAGAAGGCCGGAATTCTAGGCTCCACTGATGACCGAGACCTCATCTTTTTAATATCTCTGGTTTCAGATTGCCTGCTTGGTACCTGTGGACCAGCTTCAGCTTTATCAGCGGTTAAAATTTGAACGAGGTATGTACACGCGCGCCTGTCTATCCCGATGATGGGCTGGGGCTTTACACGTGTCATCTCCACACTTTCCTCCTAGGAAGGTCAGGGCACCTGTGGGCTGTCAACAGAGCCACAAGTGCACTCCAAAAGGGGAAAAACTCTAATTGCAACATGAAATTTCAGCTTTCTCAGCTGGAGGCAGAAAAAATGCAGTCGAGCAGGAACTAGAAGCTTCCTTATTTTGGTTGCCTTATATTTTTAATTTGGCTCATGTGAAGAGAGTTTCTGCAAAAGCTGGGACAGTTTCACAAAAGATCATGTTCCTTAAAATGGGTTTTACCACCCATTTTCCCCTCCTGAAGATCACTTCAGAATATTAATCGACCCAAACATTTTTACTGCTTCTTGTGATACTCACTCTTCATTCCTTTGAGACTAGCAATCATAGTGATGGCTGAGTGTGTCCTTCTCATGCGATCTACAATGTATCGGATTCATTTTCCATCTCACTTTGGCCTTGGGGTAATTGATATGGCTTTTTTCTTTGTGAATTTTTACCTGTAGGATTCATTCATTCATTCATTCATTCATTCACTCATTCGTCTTTTGGCTTTTTGCAGATCTTTTTTAAGGAACTCTTTTCCTCCTGTCACATCCTGTACATTCTTTTTTTTTTTTTTTTTATCGTTTATTTCTTTTTGAGAGACAGAGCATGAACAGGGGAGGGGCAGAGAGAGGGAGACACAGAATCTGAAGCAGGCTCCAGGCTCCGAGCTGTCAACACAGAGCCCAACTTGGGGCTTGAATTCACAAACTGCAAGATTGTGACCTGAGCCAAAGTCAGACGCTCAGTCAACTGACTCACCCAGGCGCCCCAACACCCTGTGCATTCTTGAACTGAATGGTCTCTTTTTCCATATCTGAGATATAGGAGAAAATTGCTCCCCTAGAATGCAGAGTCTCATTGAGTACCCAAAATAAATTCTCATCCAGCATGAACACTCAGTTTTCTGATTGATAACTTTTAAATCTGGATGGTAAAGTCTAGAGGTGAGGGTAGGGGGGAAGAGGAACATTTACGTCTCAAGTGGCAGGAAGTTTGATAAACCCAATTACCTTTATCTCATTTAGTTTTTGCAGTTACCCTGACAGATAATTCTTAACATGAAAAAAAGAAACCATGCAGAACATGAGGGGGTAAGAGTAGACTGGAGGTGGGGTGGTGGGTCACAGCATGGCCCTCACTGCCTAGGACCAAGGTTTGGCTAGTTTCATAGGCTTTTTTTTTTTTTTTTTAAGCAAGAAGCCAAAAGCAGATTCATCTCTCCTGGCTAGATCATTTAACTACATTTTTAAGGCTGAAATACTAAGATGGAAGATACCAAAACATTTCTTGGACTAGATTGCTCGAATCACATTTTTGCCTCATGGGAAGATGCAGAGAGTAGGTGTGAAAATAGGTGGTATGTTGTTGAACATAGAATCTGAACCAGCAAAGTCAGATGAATTTTAGGTTTGCTTGATAAAGACACAGCCCAATGCATCAGTCCTGTGTGGATTCTAAGCCAACTAGAGAAGTTAATGGTGGGGTAGTTTACATCTCCGATCTACCCATGTGGGCTGATGAAACATTATGGCCCAAGGTGCTGATTTATTGGGTGTGATAGCCAAAGATGATAATGTCAAACACCTAGCCTGCCAGCCTCCCACTTTATCCCAATATCCTATACTATAAAAATAAATTACTGTGGGAATGAAGACATTCCAACTGTTCATCCTACACATGGATGTGGCTGTAGCCAGTGCTGTGATTTAAGGACTCTTTTTTTTTTTTT